GGTTTGTAAGTAAGTGCTTGTCGTATGTAAGATATATTGTAAGTTTATGATCTTTAGTATGTTTCACGGCTGTATGTGCAAGCGTAAGTATGAGATTAGAATTTGTTTTGTACATATAACAATGTTGTGTTTACATTCAAAGCGAGTTGTGATGTTTCAACATGTGTGATCTGTCTTGATATGGCTAAATTGCAGTATTTAAATGTATAACTTGAATGATGCCATACATCTTTATGAATTCCGGACTAAAATAAGATCAAAGATGCATATATGAACATTTATCACACACGTCACGACCGGTGCATTAATATTAATGGAAGCAATTTACATTAACGTTGAAATACGAACATTCGTGCCTGTAAGGTACGACGGTGCCAGTTACCCTATTTGCAACACCACTAAAAGAGATATTTCAACCTCCCCAGCGACATTTGGATGCATTTTATGCTTCGATATTCACGAGTTGACTCTAAATTTCCCATTTAAGTACGACCAGATACCTGCTGTATATCACAAATGAAGGCGTGTCATATTTAAGGAAATAAATGCACCGGCAACTCGACCCGATAATTAAAGGTACCAGTTAGCGGATTTTTGTTTATCAAATATCCGTCACTTACGTAACTTCTAGGTCATTTTCACCCCTTAGCAACAGCTGTCACTCTTGCACCCTTTCACCCTGGCGTATTTCCTCTCCCCCCCCCTCTCTCTCTCTCTCTCTCTCTCTCTCTCTCTCTCTCTCTCTCTTTTGCTTCGTGTCCTTCACACAAATTATCCGACTATTTATGCTGCACTCACAAGTATGGTGAATGTAGAACGCACACACACACACACACACACACACACACACACACACACACACACACACACACACACACACACACACACACACACACACACACACACACACACACACACACACATACACACACACACTCAACGATAATGTATACAACAAAGTATTAATTGAAATCAAAGCCTTTAGTCCCTATGAAGTGACCTTATGTGCAATAAAAGGTCGAAGCAATACTACACATGCTGTTGCATGTAGGACAAATGTGGTGCAATGCCACAGAATCAATATTGCAAAAAAGAAAAGAAAATGACGACATATGGATACATGTGGCCATGCAAACACACATGATCGCACGCAAATATACGAATTATCTATATGTGTACTGAAAAATGTAACTGAAAAAAATATTGCGTGCAATCTGCAATATCTCTCGGAAGAGATAGATAGAAAAAAGAAAAAAAATAATCGCCATGATAACATTCCCACGTGAGCTGTCACGTTAATAACGATTCTAAAAATAGCCTAAATCCTACCCACAAAAAAGAAATAAAAAAGAAATGATAAAAAAATATATCCCGTTAAGGATGTGCTTCCCCATATGGCAACACCGCGCGTGCTCCATGACCCTTGGAAATAAGTTGTATGTTTCTCCCTCTCTCACGACCGGATATGCGCCCACGACCACCAGTATCGCCCGGTAGCTAATATCTTTACATACATAAAAACATATAAAGCACAGACAAATAGTGAATAACATGATAACCCTCCACCCCTCCCCCCCATCTCGAGGTAAACGACAAGAATACCATCGTTGGCAACTCGACGTCAAACCTCGCAATCCACATCTTCATTAACTTTTTCATCAACGAAATTACCTTCGACTCTTTAAACAACTAACCAAACCGGATCACGAGACGAGACTTTGGGAGTGACCATAAACCACACTGTA